GAGTGATGTTTGGAGATTTTGCCAAAATTGGACGAGCCGCCGGGGCGAGTCCAATTTGGGAATTTCCAAAGATCACGAGTACTATTAGTCCCTAAAGCCTAGTTTCCATTTGGTCGCTAGTTGTCGCTGTCGCGACAAGCGGCTGATGTAATAGAGGGTCAACAAAAAACTCTGCAATCATTAACACTGATTTGCAAATCACACAAAAGGATTATTATATTATTATATTAGACTATTTCACATCTACCGCTTGTCGTGCCAGCGACAACTAACGACCAAATGGAAACTAGGCTTAATTGTACGAGCAACATCGCATGATTACTTGTTTATTATTAGCATGACAAAATTGGATACTTCTCAATGTCAACATGTCATGGCGGAAAGGTATTTTAAACACAAGTGTGAAATGAAATGAAAATACGAACAAAAGCACCAAATTTTGGTCGAAAGTCTTGCAGGTTTAGTCCTGCAAGACTTTCGACCAAAATTTGGTGCTTTTGTTCGCATTTTCATTTCATTTCACACTTGTGTTTAAAATACCTTTCCGCCATTTTGTTTGTTTTGGGAAATCATTAATTGTACTGCAGTACAATTAATGAAATAATTGCACTCCTCTCAACCAATCAGCATCCGGTAATTTTGTCATGCTAATAATAAGATGAGTAAATAAGTGTTATGTTATTTCCAACACGAATTGCATTTGCATCAACAAAACTTACATTTATATCTTTGCATTTTTGCTTCTGTTGGTCACGGTTCGTCATTCTGTCGATGGTTCCACGGCACGTACTTTCTTCATGGGACATCACAACACGTCCATCCATTCAGTAGGTAACAAATGCACTCAATTTCACGTAAACCACCATAAAATAAGGAGAAAAAATTCATTAATTCACGTTAAGAGGCAATTTTTTTCAATGTCACGTATTTGCAATGAAAAGTGTTCAAAACCTAGTAAAATCTTTTTGGCGTTCCTCTCAAAATTACTTTCTTTTAGCTTTATTCTCTAGTTTATAGAGTTAGCTACCTTTTTCAATGCATCTTCCGGTTGAGAAGCATAAAATAATAATCAATATTGCTTAAAATTGGCGCCATGCATATTTACAGCCATATAAGCAAAACTTACTGAACTTCAGACATCATTTTCTCTTTGGCGTATCATCTAAAATCTCTTCATTTTAGCATTATTTTACAGATAAAACATCAAATATACTTTTTAAGTTTGTTTGCCGATTGAGTGGTATAGTATACGCATTAGTTTTGAGCGCGTGTTACGTAACATGCAAAAAAATCTCTTAATAAACAACTTACAAAAAATAAATGTTCAATTTAATTTTAATTCCAAGTCGACATATTTAAAATTAAGAACTTCAATATTATTGCAACTCTTTGATTGTGAATAACACAAATAACATCGACAAACCGTACATCTGTATCTTTGGGTCTTCGCAGCTTCTGTTGGGCATGTGTCGTCATCTATCACTCTACGGTATGCTTGTCCCTTTGTTCTCTGTCTTTACATGGCACATCCAGTTTCCTTGACATTACATGCATCCTTTGAGAAAATAAGCGATGAAAATTTTAGGAAAATCTTAACAATGTCAGAGTGTTTAAGTATCAGGGAGGGCGAAGTACTGATCATATAGGGGTGGAATATTGAGGAAGTACAGATACGGACACGACCCCAGCCAGTAATACATGCTGTAACCACAAATTGTTCCTTATTTTTAACAATGCAATTCTACCGTTATGATTGCCTGTAATGGCGACGTCACTCATGCAGTACATAATAATGATCCGATACGATCCGTACGGGCTTACGGATCGAAAGCTTTGCAGTAATAAATTTACGTGGTGTTTCCACAAACAAAAACAATTATATTTATCGCCATGCAAACATTCAAAGAACTTATTACATAATAATGAGTTATAATTTTTTTTCTGAAGGGCCAGGGTCGTAGCCACGGGGAAGAATGGGGGCAAGCCCCACCCCACTTTTCTTTAAGACCTATTTTTTAATTCCTCCAGGAGAAACTGAGGAGGGGGCATCACCTCACTTTTATCTATGATCAAATATACCAAATCTTTGGATTATTATAAAACGTCTCTAAAATGCATGCAATAGGCAACTTTATAATGGACCATTTGCATCATAGACTAAGTTTTGATCTAGACAAAAATTTCATCACAGCTTGAAAGAGCATCACAAAATTAGTAATATTCCAAAGTTTCGTTGCGAAATGTTGTAAAATGCGGATAATATAGCCTTGCAAAATTTGCAATTTTCAGTCATTTTGTATTACAAACGGGAAATTGATGCGCCAACACCTGATTGGGCTGTCAATTTCCCGTGCGTAACACAAAATGACTGAAAAACGGCAAACGTCGCAAGGCTATAATTATAGGCATTTTACAACATTTCGCAACGAAACTTTGGAATATTACTAATTTTGTGATGCTCTTTCAAGCTGTGATGAAATTTTTGTCTAGATCAAAATTTAGTCTATAATGCAACTGATCCATTAAGCTTCACGTTTCCGGAAACTGCAAACGGCAGGATTGGACTTTCTTTGACAAAATTTTCGTATTCATTTTTAGTGTGAAGTTTCTTCGAAACTTCACAGTATTGTGATGACTGGGGGGAAATTCAAACGAAACAGTCAGTCATTCAGTAGTCATTCATTCATTCAGTCAGTCATACAGTAAACTTTCCGGGGGGTGTATACGGTATGTGTTCGTAGTGATTTATCGTACTTAGTCTGTGCTTTGAAGGTTATTTAGGCAATTTTAGTTGTCTTATTTAAATATTCTTTAGGTCTTTTGCCAAGTTTTGCCAAGTTTACAAGAAATTCGAGGAATTGTTGTCGTTATTGTAAATTTTATAACATGCGCTTCTCATGTTGTGTAAAGGATTTTTCCCCCGGAACACCCGATTTTTTCTTTAGCAGCGCAAATGCGCATGCGCTATCAAGCCGTAGATCACGATGGCGTGACGATGCTAGGAAGGAGCGAGACAGTGTTGTTTTGAAATGTATAAACATTTCAGACGTGAATATTGAGTAAATCTTCGAGAATCTACGCAATATATAAATTGATGTTATGCAATAATGCATTCAATTAAGTGCCGATATTATTTAGACCGGTATATTCATTTTACAGAGCTAGCAAGGAGCTAGGACAGTGCTTTTTTGAAGTGTATATAATATATTAAACATTTCAGACGTAAATATTGAGTCGAAAATCTTTGAGATTCTAGGCATTCAATTGAGTGCCGATATTATTTTCACGGTATACCCACTATACAGA